CGTCCTTTTCCTCGTTTGAGTGCGTGTGTACCCTCCAGAAATACACACAGGGAGAGTCGCAATCGTCTAGGAAACTATGTAATAACTATGCATTGTGCCTACTTGTATTGGATATCATCAGGAAGAGTGATGGCTAGACGGTAATGACAATTAAGGCCGCTTTCCCTGGGAAGAGAAGTCTCTAACTTATCATGTTATTCTCATAGTCTGTGACGTTTGCTATCAATGTTAAGGTGATTCATATGAGAAAGATTTTAATTTGGACCCCTACACCACCCATGAATCCTCCCTCCCTCCCTCCCTCTCTCCCTCTCTCTCTCTCTCTCTCTCTCTCTCTCTCTCTCTCTCTCTCTCTCTAAATTTGACCAAACTTCACCCCATCCTTTTGATTACTAAAATAAAAAATTTCGTCCAATCCACATTACTGTCAGAAGCGCGCCGAACAAAAATAACAACAAAGGTTTCCCGCAACGAAAGAGCTCTCAGGGTAAATTTGCCACTTTGCCCATTTTTTAAAAGAGTAGCCTAAAACTGATCTGATGTGTTTTCCTTTATATTTTTTGCATCCTACAAAAATGAGAAATACATTACGACTTTTGGGGAATTGGAGAAAGGAAATTCAATTACAATATTTTTTCAACTGATTTCAGTTGTATTTGGGTTTTTATTTTATTTTTAAAATAATTATTGTACCTTTACAACTTCAAGAATTGCCAATGTTGCTTCAAATTGACTTTTATTTATGTACAAGCATAATATTATGTTCAGATTCACATGCATAATATATCATAGTACATCATATCATTATATTTACTGGGATCCTCAGATGGTATGACATCGTATAGATCTAAATCTATTGCAACTAGCCTAGGATAAGCTATTCAGACCACAAGCTCTTAGCCTAACATTGAAATTGTCTCAACGCTAATTAGATCTAGCATTGTTTGGAAATAACTGGCAACCAAAAATAACGGTCGAAAAAATAATAGATCTCTAGCCTAGTAGTTAGTCAGTCAGGCCTTGAAGCAAACTGCAAGAATCTAACACAGCAAACTGCAAACACATCAGAGTGTAACTAAACTTTTGGTTGGTACTTTCGTTATTTATTACTATTATTTGTTCTTCGTTCCCAGCATAGATCTTCTAGTTCTATTTGTATCCCCAGAAAGTGCCTTGCCTTTTTATTTTACATGACTGAATGCTTCACTTCACTTGCTGCAAGTGCAAGGCCCAAGACCAAGACTTGCTTGGACTTGGTCTTGGTGGCAGGCTTCTCATTCTCAGTCTCAGGCCTAGAAAAACCGTGGGTGGACTGCTCAAGGTATCATTATCATGTAGCCTAGAGAGTAGACTTCAGTAGTGAGTGACTTGGAATAATATCTAATCAAGGGTAAATTTTTACTTTCACTCCCACACACTGATGCACTGCTTTGGCTTTGGGGGTCAAACTGCAGAGTATTATAATTGTTTACCCAACCGGACCCAAATGAAGGGGAACGATTGAAAAATATAAGTAAAAAAGGAAGAGGCTAGCCGTATTGACAGTTAGACACAAGCCCAAGCGGATAGTGAGAGTTCGACAATTGAACACCATTGGCCAATATTTATGGCCGTCTTTATTCGGACTCGAGTCCGAATAACATTTTTTCTTTGAAGTGACTATTTCTCCGAACGTTCGGAGAAATAGTGCCGATCTTTATTTCTCCGAACGGTTTCCAGCTTCCGGTCTCGTGATTTTTTGCCTATTTATTGCGAGAGTTCGGCGCCAACTTTCATTCTGCCTCTGATCTGGGAAGGAACACCGCATGACAAGCCCGCCTACAGACAACCTTCAGTAACACCCACCACACACACACCACCATCATGCACATGTACACACACTAACTAAACATGACCAGTGGGCAACTTTTGAACGTATGACGAACTGAGCTGTGGATGGAGAGACAGTATACTGTGAGTGAAAGAGCGGGTGAAAGGAAGAATGTGCGAGAGTATCCACAGGCGACAGCAACTACAAGTACAAGACGACGACACCGACCCCTGGCCTGGTCCACAGCTCACGAAAGAAAGGAATGCAGCTCAGGCAGTGTTTTGCCTATATTATTGTCCATGGTTCGCAGGGTGCAAGGGAATGAGTGAGATTTTCTTTGTGTGTGCCTGGAGGGAGGGGGTGGGGTATAATGAAAGTCATGCGGACAGGGATGAGCCGCGGGAGAGAACACGGGAATTGAATGAATGAGTGAAACTGAAAGAGACGAATAACTCATGAGCCCTGGAGTGAATGGATCCTGTGTTTCTATTTTGTATACTTTGAACTGTTACTGAATAAAGGCTGAAATAAAGCCCGAAAAACAAACACACACACACACACACACTCCTCACTCTCCACTTACTACCACACACAGACACACTCACACACGCACATACATACGCACACACACACACACACACACACACACACAGGAGCAAATTTTTGGGTCTATATGTATTTCAATTTTCAAGAGCTAGATAGTCTACAGATTTTTAGATGAGTGTAAAAACGTGAAAAAGGAAGGTTTCACAACAGAAAGAAATCAAAATTAGAACAGCCCATGAACAACAACAAACATTAAAAAATAAGGGCGAGTGTCCACCTGTCCGAAGAAGATTGGCTGTTTTAACCCTAAATGTGCGTAATTTTAAAAAAAAGTAGCCTACAGGATATTACATATATATATGTAAATTATGGAATCACACACATTAAGGGGCTTTGCCAGTGTCAGTACATTGGTCGCAGCAGTTCTATGTGTCGTTATCAATAACCCTCCGTAGATCTAGATCTAGATCTAGACAGCACACGAGTGAACACAACACATTGCGTTTAAGAGCAGTACCCTTCATAGGGAACACGCCATATCTGTAGCGAAAAACTGTTTGGAACTGTAGCATTTCTTTATATAAATATTTACTGAGGACATTTTTTGGACCGCTTGAACCATATATTGTATACGAACAATCTTTGGTAGGCCTATACTATAATTATAGATCTATATAATATCCGAAATTTGCGGGAAAGGATGAGATTTCAGAGTGTTCGGAGAAATAGTGCCCAGCTTTATTTTCCCGAACGTTCGGAGAAATAGTGCCGGCCTTTTTTCTTTTTCGGACTCGAGTCCGAATATAAAAATTTCTTATTCGGTAGCCATGCCAATCGGGCTCGGCGAAAATTTGGTCCCCATTTGCGGATGATTTTGCGGACCCGGCCGAAGCGTAGGTGACTAACTTTGTCAACCTCGGGCTGCTCTATTTCCGAACCAATCCAAATGAAACTCGGCATACAATCAGAAAATAGGACAAGAAACTAATATTATGTGGATGTTGAAGTTCGTACACATAAATTAACCTATACTTTTGGTGTCTAATTTTGCGAGCCCGACCGAACTCTACCTGCCAGTTTTCTTTTTCTTTTTTTTTTCAGATTTTGAGAACAGTTTGAACTTAAATTTTTGCCCCTCAAACTAAAAAGGCAAGCCTTTTGTCTTAAGTTAAAATAAAATATTATTAACACTTTGTCGTCATATTTTGGGGAAAATCCAAAGAATCTGGGTGGTAAAAATCGCCAATCGGCGAGATGAGGGGCAAAGTGTAGACCCATTTAGCGCTTAACTTGCATTGTGTGAAGCCTATCAAGGGGCATTATTGATGTGGCTTTTAGTATTTTTGCTAAGATAATATAAAAGTGGACTTGGGAAGCTTTGTGCACAAACTCCTCCCTTATTACCTAACCCGCACCTTTGAAACTTTGCAGGCGTCCACAGCATCCATGTGGCTCGGACCTAACTTTTAAAAATCCACGCAGACTGCTTTCCCTTTTCCGAAATGCTTTGTTTCGTCCACACAGTTCTAATCTTGGGGAAGTCCGTCTTCTAAGACTCCATTGTAGACAAGTGAGGGTTCCGTTCAGTAGCCGTGCGCAACAATTCCACACTTTTGAAACTCTGGAGCGTACAACCACGAAAGCGGAATAGAAGAGAATCAATCGATACATCCATTATATCGGCAACTTGTTAATGCACCGATCGTTCCTTTCATCGAAAGGGGGCCCAGCTACTTTGATTATATTTATGATTGGATCTTGTAGTTGTTTTGGAAACCATGCTTTGAAAAGCTTTTATTGATTTGCTGCCAATGTAAAAATATATTATGTAATCATCAAGGAGGTCTCATGGATTTAATTTGTCTGTTGTTGACATTCCTGAAGATGACCTTTTCACTTTCTATTTACACTTGTTGTGTGGATGGACAGAGTTTTCCAAAGTATGCAATTTATGCAGTGTCATATGTGATGTAGGCAATTTTTTCATGATCTATTTTGTGTGTTTGTTTTTGCATGTCATTCACCTGTGCTGGGGATGAGATAGGTAAAAAAAAAACCAGTAGGCCTAAATTTTTTTCTTTCAGATTTGGTTTCAGTTTCAGTATGAGAAATGTTTTAGAGCAAAACAGTGAAATAAAGTACAGTGTAATGTTACATACATCATGTACATCAGAGAAATAAAAGTAAGGAAAAAAAACAACCAATAAGCGCATCTTCCCCCATTAACACAAAGTAAGTAAGGAAACATTAGTTTTAAGTTGTCCAGTACATTTTCAATTTCTGTTTTCTTCACATTAATGGTTTTGTGAAGTGTTCACCTCATTTTGATTACTCTTTGCTTTCTTTCTTTACAGAAAGAAACTGGAGTGGGACTTGTAGTTCTTCTTGCGTCAGATGCTTTGTTTTTACGACGAAAGAGAACCTGAGCGGACTTAAATTGGAAAGCTGTTGATAAAAAACCTAAAACAAGATGGATATAGATGATATGTGTCAAGACATCTTCAGGCGTCCCGGGTCGACACCGTTTAGCCCGAGGAAGTACGAAGCGGCGCTCATGAGATCAGGCTACGAATCAAGTGCGGAGGAAGGCAGTGTGGACATTTACGGGGACCTGCAGTCTATGGACAGTTTTCCGTCAAACCCTGAATCGTCGGAGCAGTTCAAACTGCTTTCAGAAACGGTAATTTTTCAGTGTCTTAATCACAATGCATGTTGTACTTGGAGTTCTTCATAATTCCTCCCTTTTGATGTTGTATTTCAAAATCTGTTAACTGTTGAAGATAAATTTGGAAAGGATACACATCATTATTGCAGAATTACAAAGTTCTATCTGCTCAGTAGGCCTACCTTGTTTTGAGAAAGTTGACGCCAAAGATTTTGAGCTTCACATCCTGTCAAGCTCTTTTAAATGCAATTCTTTCAATATCTTGATAACAACCCTGAATGAATTTGATAGAGCAGATAGAGAGCAGTTGGTTTTTGATCTCATGGTCATAGTAAAATTTCCCTAAAATTAGATATTTCACGAGGTTCCCCATTTTTTCAAGTTAGGCATTATGATATCAACTTCTTCACTCTTGATCCTTTTCTCAGTCACACTCACATATCAGGCTTATAGCATGGTGTTTTCTTTGGTTGTAATACAACAACATACCATCACCTTTGTCTCAGCTGGTAAATGATTACTGAAGACTTTAGATTAGAATTAACTTTGAGAAAAATGAAGTTTTTGTTTTTTTGAGGCAATCATAATATTTCAACCCATGCACAGCTAAGACATGGATGGTGATCAGATATGGTTCTAGTGGTACTGACACACATTTGATGCAGCTTTTGATATGATGTAATGTGCACTGCTGCTTGGGATGATTGGGCAGTTGATTTTGAGACACGGTAAAGCTGTAGAGGCCTTACAAAGACAGCATAAAAACACATGGCCTTCATAAATGAGAGTTTGAAAAGTACACTTTTTCTTCAGTACACCTTATCATTTATTACTGAGAACTTCTCAATGTCTGATTTTGGGGCATGATAAAATGAAATAATGTTCACTGGACAGGTTCTTGGATGCGAGCTAAAAAATGTTGACATGTGCTATTTTTTATTTTTGTAATTTGGGGATAATAGGATCATGAAGGTTTACTGCGCACACTTAGTGTAATCTTTGTTTCTTAAAGTGGTGTACGGTTGGTTTATATCACTCAAAAGTTTGTTTCCTCTCTTACATCATGATCAAATGTCTCTGCTTGTATACTCTTCAGGCGTGCCATGTGCCATCTCCAGTCAAAATTGAGAGAAAAAATGCGGATGCAGTCCGTCTTGATTTGTTCACTGATGTACTGGCGTCAGATGTCTCACAGAGGGAAAAGGTGAGAGCAATTGTACAGTTTACTTTTTGTATCATGTATGTTCTCTCTTTTCAGCAAGTGCTAGACCGATAAATGTTTGCTTGAAATGGTCCGGTTCTCAACACTTTGCCGCCTGATGGCAAAGTGTTAAGGGAAGGTGTTATGGGGGTTTCGTTTATTGTATGTAGGGTAGGTTCCTTCTTCTGTCTTGAGGCTTAGAGAATTCATTTGAACTTCAACGGAAAATATAGTCTGGTATTGGTATCTTGAGTATTGCTAATCAGCGTCTGCTTTTGTTGTTGTGGGTTTTTTTTACTTTCATTGTTTTCACTATGGCCAGTATTGAGGGTACTTGGTTAATGTGTGCTCCTTGTGGGGGGTTTGCAGGTGCTCTGGTGTGGTTTTCTCCTTTTTTCCTGTCAAACATCTATCGTCTTTGTCTCCCCTCCTTTTTTTGTTTTTGATTCTCTCTTTGTGACACAATTGATCTTGGGCACATGTTTGACCTTATTGTATTGCAAGTGCAGGAAAACTATTACTACAACTAAAAATAGTTTGTGTGCTCCTTTTACTTCCTTTTGGCATTTTATTTATTCTACCTAACCCCTTCCTGGTGAAATGCGACCTTCGTTGTGTCGAATAACCGTAAATTTACCTCAACAAAGACTATCTCTGTGTTTCTGGTTTCTCAAGATGAGTACGAGAACAAAATTTACACCTAAGTTTCGAGCGAGGTGCATTTTCACCTTTTCATGTTATTCTTTTCCATCAGATGCGAAAGCAAATGGAGGAAATGGAGAATAAGTACCGGCAGCTGGAGGAAGAAAACAAAAGTCTGGCGGCCACTAAAGTGCAGCTGTGTAAGAACCTGTCCTCTCTGCTGCTCACCGCCCGCGCTGAACTGCAACAGAAAGACGAGGAGCTCCACAGGCTGAGGTAGGGGAACGGGTGGTTGGCGGGTGCTCTGGTGGGGTTTGCTTCCTCTTTTCTATCAAACATCTATCGTGACAGCGAGCTCATATGACCTTATGCAGTTGCATGCGCCGTAAAACTCTTACTAAATCAAAAAAATATCCATCTTCCTTTTATTTCCTCCTTTTTTGTGTTTGTTACTCTCTTGTGATACCTCTAAGCTTTGGCACTCATATCATGACCTTATTGTGTTGCAAGTGCCATTGTAAACTTACTATAAAACTAAAACTGAGGTAGGGAGGTGGCTACATCCTTACTCTTCAGTGTGCTGACTGAGAGGAAGGGTGATGCTGGTGGTGGAGGTTCTAATGTGTTCATTGATGTGGTTTGGTCTTTCTCCTTTCTCTTTCAGATTTACTATAATTAATTATTAATCTATTATGATTGAAATATGGTCATTGTCATTTTCGATTGTGGAGACTCTTCGTATACTACATTCTTCTTCTTCTTCTTCTTCTTCAGTGGGTGGTTGGCGGGTGCTCTGGTGTGGTTTGCTTCTTCTTTCCTGTCAAACATCTATCGTCCTTTTCTCCCCTCCTTGTATTTTGTGTATGTTACTCTCTTGTAACACCTCTAATCCTTGGCACTTATTTGACCTTATTGTGTTGCAAGTGCCGTAAATCTGTTACATGTACATGTTCTTCTTCTTCTTCTTCTTTTTTCTTCTTCTTCTTCTTCTTCTTCTTCTTCTTCTTCTTCTTCTTCTTCTTCTTCTTCTTCTTTTTCTCCTTCTCCTTCTCCTCCTCCTTCTTCTCCTTCTCCTCCTCCTCCTCCTCTTCCTCTTCCTCTTCCTCCTCCTCCTCCTCCTCCTTTGCAACATTTTTGTTTATGAGTAGGGTCAAGCACAAAGCCCCTTTTTCTGAAGATGTGGCTTAATGACCACCTATATTTTTTTAAGCAAAGTTTGAAATAGTGATGCTAATTTCATGTTTTCAAAGCTTCTCTTTCCGTCTTTATCAACTAATGATTTTTTAAGTGTAATTTTTTAGCGTGTGCAGTGGGTTGGGGATGATAAGGAATGTGTCGGCTCATATGTCCACTCGGAATTGAGCGCGATATAAATGCCATTTATTATTATTAGTATTATTATTATTATTGTTATTATTCCGGAAGGAGTTGCAAAGCTTCCAGTGGTAAAATTACTTTCATGAGCATCTGGTTTAACACTTTGCTTCCTGTTGTAAATGACTCGGAACAGAAAAGGAAGCAAAGGCGTAAATGTAAAGACGCATGTCATCATCATGGTTACTGTTGTTGTGTATCATATTTAAAGATGTGATGTTGACTTTTTGCCATTTGCTTTAAAGGACAATGTTTGTCCATGGGTGTTTGGCGGGTATTCTGGTGGGATTTGCTTCTTCTTACCTATCAAACACCTATCGTCTTTATTCCCCCCTCCTTTTTTGTGTTTGTTACTCTCTTGTAACACTTCTAATCTTCGGCACTTACATGACCTTTTTATGTTGCAAGGTTGCAAGTGCCGTAAAACTCTTACTAAACTAAACAAAACTAATCTTCGGCACTTATATGACCTTATTATGTTGCAAGTGCCGTAAAACTCTTACTAAACTAAACAAAACTAATCTTCGGCACTTATATGACCTTATTATGTTGCAAGTGCCTTAAAACTCTTACTAAAACTAAAAACTCTCCTCTTTTTTGTGTTTGCTACTCTCTTGTAACACCTCTAATCTTCAGCTTTTATATGACCTTATTGTGTTGCAAGTGCCGTAAAACTCTTACTAAAACTAAACTGAAATGTTTGTGGTTTGTGTGACAGGAGGACAGTTGCGGACTACTCGCAGAGACCCAGAAGTCCCGCCGTTGGTGGCTCAGGGTCCGAGTCCGTGCACGGTGCAAGACGAGCTCAGGGTTCTTCATCGGGGAGAGGAGGCGGAACAGACGACAGGAGGAGGGGACATAACTACGACAGGCATGCTGCGCCCGACTCTGGGCCCGCTGATCATTACGAGTACAGAACCAGGGAAGATTATCAAGTTGGATCTGAATCAAGAGATCCCATCCGAGCGGAATCGAGAGACTATCCAGTGAGATCCGAGTCTAGAGACTATCCAGTGAGATCTGAGTCTAGAGGCAATCCAGTAAAATTGGAATCGAGAATTGTATCAGAGCATTCGCAGGAGAGGAGTGTTGTGTATGGTAGTCATCGGAATCATCCCAGGACACAGGCACCTTCCGTGGACTCTGATGCTGCGACTAGTCGCGACCCGAGGGGGGCTCAGGATTCTGGGTGGGATCCCCACCATCAGAGGCTGTCGTCGTGCAATGTCGGTGGTCGCAGCCATCCGGAGGAGAGGAGAGAGGACACTTGTTTTGTTTCTGATTCTTCCGGTGGAGGAGGGGGCAGCGGAAGCCAGTTTGATTTGCGCAACAAGTTGTCTCGGCGGAGCCAGACCGAGGTACGTACGCTGGTGAACGACGAGTCGGGGGATAACAACACACGCAACAGTTTAAAGAGAGCGTCGTCTCGATCGACAGACGAAGCCCCGGCGGAGAGAGGCACTACCAAACCCCCACACCCGTCCTCGGGACGCGACGGCTCAAGCAGACTGTCCCCACCAACGAGCAAGCTGCGGAAGACGAGTGCTTCATCAAGAGAAAGTAGCAAAAGTTCGGTGAGGGACAAATTGAAAGTGGAAATTGGCCAGTCGTATTCTTTGGCTGGCTGCCAGGGTGTCGCCTCTCGGAGGAAATCTAGCGAAACGCCGTCACCCAGTTCGAAAGGCAGGCCAGAGAATGCGGAAAGACATGGCACGATAAAACCCAAGAAGATCAGTTTCTCTCCTGCCTCCAAAGATCAGAAAACGGGCAAAGTTGGAGAATCTAGTCGATGCCTTGAAGGGGAAAGGCCAAGTGAGAAGGGTGAATCGACTGGTGGTGAGAAACAACGTAGAACAGACAGAGCAGAGGAGTCGTCGCTCCAACCGCATCCTCCCATTTCCTCCAGCTCGGGAGCGAGAGACAGTGAGCAGATGATGCACGACCACAAAAGCAGACATAATGTGTCGGTTCCTGCCTCAAACACAGAGGTGACACCTGGACCCTCCCACGATTGTGATGAGACCAGGCTACACCAGACTGTGCCTTGTGAAACACCTGCTGATAAATCTGGGAGTGAGGAGAGAAAGAAAAAACTGGAGAGGCAATCGTCTGGTCATTCATCAAAACAGGATGGTGTTTGTGAGGAGAAGACAAATTTTGATGCGTTATCAGATAAAAGTCGTCTTGCTAGAGATAATGAGAAGCTGTACCTCAAACACAGGCCGTTCAGGTCCGTAAGATCTACTGCAGCTTCGTTCTTTGGCTCTCTCTCTGACGAAGAAAACAGCTCGGTTTCCAACTCGACTACTCCTTTCACTCACGTAAATACACCGCTGAAATCCACACCAGCGACCAGGGAAAGGAGCAATTCTTACTCAGGAGACAATACACTTCCTTTTGAAACCAAAGCCTCCGAGGATACAAATTCCTCCAAATCAGTGTCAGGTTTGCACTTTAAGAAGGGCTTTATCAAGAACTTCAACAACCTGAATGGGGACAGCACCGCGAGGTCTGATACAGCTCCGGCTTTTCCCGTCTCGTCGGAGGTACCCACCGTGGAGGTGATAGACGTGGACCTGGAGGATGGGAACCAAAACGGCAACAACAACAACAACAACGGCCAAGACTGTGGTGAAACGGACGACGGGCTATTTACCAAACCCGAGATCATGCTATCGTCCTCCTCCTCCAAGTCCTCGTCCCGCGAGTCCATGGATCAAGGCTCGTCTTCCTCCAGCTCCAAGGAGAGCGCGACGAGAGACACCCTGGCGCCGACCCCTGTGATCACCAACATCGTGTGTACGTCCAACCTGATCATGCTGGGCGAGGAAGAGGCCAGCTCGAGCGCCTTCCCCAGTCCCCACAAGCCGCAGCTGTTACCCTCTGAGTTCTACCCCCCAGGCCAGAGGGGGCAGCTGGCGGACGGAATCTCACATTTCAGGCACATCAGAGGCCCCTCGGAGATCATTCGGAGGGTTAGCGTGTCTGAAACAGAGACGTCGGAGCTTCTGTCTGACGGGGGTGCAAAGGAGAGGCTGGGGGATATAGCAGAGTCCTCTGATGATGAGCCACAAACTGCTTCTGACAAACCGAGTAAAAACAAAGATGAGAAAGATCGGGCTTGTAAAAGGAAAACTGAAAGAAAATCCAAGAAGAATAAGAATGTGACAGAGGAACAGCATAATATGGGGGGATCAACTGGTAAAGAGTCTCAAGTCGACACAGACAAGGCATCGAGGAAAAAAGATGAACGGGATGCAAGTGGAGCTGGTAAAAGTCGCATCCGAACGACTGAGAATAAGATCTCCGGTGAAGAAAAGTGTAGTCGTATTGAGTCCTCGGAGACCGTGCCCGAAGTAAAAATTGACGGCAACAAGACTTCACGGGACAGAAAAGGGAATGGGACTAGCAAGAGCAGAGTTCAGGACAAAAGTAAAGAGAAGAAGAAAGAGAGTATGGACCAGTGTGATAAATCAGAATCTTTCACCAAAGTACCGCAGCTTGATGAGAATACGGTTGTTGGGAATAAAACGGAAAGAGTGCAATCTAGTAAAGGCAAAGATCACATCAAAACTACCCAGAGTAAGGAGCTGAGGGAAGAAGGCAGTAGTGGTAGAACTTGTGTGGAAGGTATGAAGACTTGCCCCATAGAAAATCCTAAAGGAAGGAAAGAGCAAGAGAAAAGAGAAAAGGCTCCCCTTGTGGAAGGTCCCAAAGGAAGGAAGGAGCAAGAGAAAGAAGCCAAGTCTCGCCTTGTGGAAAATCCCAAAGGAAGGAAGGAGCAAGAGAAAGAAGCCAAGTCTCGCCTTGTGGAAAATCCCAAAGGAAGGAAGGAGCAAGAGAAAGAAGCCAAGTCTCGCCTTGTGGAAAATCCCAAAGGAAGGAAGGAGCAAGAGAAAGAAGCCAAGTCTCGCCTTGTGGAAAATCCCAAAGGAAGGAAGGAGCAAGAGAAAGAAGCCAAGTCTCGCCTTGTGGAAGATCCCAAAGGAAGGAAGGAGCATGAGAAAGGAGAAAAGGCTCGCCTTGTGGAAGATCCCAAAGGAAGGAAAGAGCATGAGAAAGGAGAAAAGGCTCGCCTTGTGGAAAATCCCAAAGGACGGAAGGAGCATGAGAAAGGAACAAAAACTTGCCTTGTGGAAGAAACCTATGGAGAAAATGATATGGAGTTGTCAGTCTCGGACAGCGAAACACAGGAAGAGGGAGGGCTGCAGAATCTGGAGAGTGAGCCAGAAGAAACGAAGGCCTGGATGCGTGTGGTGGAAAAGCAGTGTGAAAATGTTCTCAAGAAAACGCTGCAAGCATTCAAGAAGGAAATGTTCCAGAGTGGTAAAGTGAACAAAAGCAGACTGGAGAAGAGGCTGCATGGTTTAGAATTTTACAAAGCCGTTGAACAAGGACAAGTTAGTCATGTGTCCAAGAAGCCAGAGTTTTCTCTAAGTGGAAAAAAACGGGTTTCCACTTTGTCTCTGCAAGAAAAAGACGCTGTAAAGTTTGTACAAAATTCTTCTAGTGCTAGAGAAAATTATGCTGTCCAGTCACATGTAGAGAGTCAAGAGACCGGTGACACAGGCACTACTTCAGTGCAGAGGCTGTGTGGGCGCCTGTTGTCTGCAGCAGAAGGTGGATCAACTAATCCAGTCAGCCTGGAGGAGGGAGAGGCATCTCTCAGTGACCATCAAGACAACCGACCTCCAGCTATCTTCCGTCAGAGAAAGCAAGATGCCAGGACTGGTGCTACTGTCGTCCAACAGCAGTGTCGTGCGTCTCCCGACAGTTTCCTGGTCACCTCGTCCGACCATCACCAGCCCCAACTGTCGAGGTTGGCGTCTGTCGCAGCGTGTCGTCAGCAGAGTTCCTCCCCACTGTCCCATCACCTGGAGCCGGACAGCACCAGCGATCCCTGGACAGACTCGCAGAAAATTGGTGACCAGTCTAGCTTGGAGAACCCTCAGACTCGAAGCAGTCCTCCTCCAAGGAGGGAGAAGCATCCCCGAGCTGAGAAAGTCCCAGCTGCCCTTGAGAAATGTGGAGAATTGAAGAAACGCCAGTCTAGTCTAGATACAGGTGATAAATCAGCACGTTCTTTTTCCAGCCTGGAAGCGGTGAATTGTGAGAGTGCTGAGAAAGTTAGTTTGGTCGCATATCAGCTCCATCTCTCTTCTGGCAGCAGTAATGAGGATGACAGTGATAAAGAAATAGCTGCTTCAAGAAAGAAAAGTAAACCGCGGCTGGAAGAAAATCATAACAAAGCCGGAGAAACTGGGCCAGGAAGGCCGTGCCTTGTGTCAAAGTCGGCGAAGTCTTCCTCTGAGGCGGAGGAATCTGACGACACGACTCCCACAGGTACACCTAAAAAGGTCAAAGTGCGGAGAAGTGTTAGCGAAAGGTCCCGGAGAATGAGGACATCGAACTGTGATTTGGAAAACAAGGAGGAAAAGATTGTTTGCAAGAAAAGGTCTCGCAGTGAATTTGAAAACAAGAGGGAGAAGTCTGTGAGGAGGAAGAGGTCCAGTGATGAGTTCAAAAGTCAGAGAGATACGACATTTGTGCTGGATGAGGAGGCGAGAGATGGCCCTGACGTGAGACCAGGACCGGAGATTGTTCACGCCGTGCCGGCTTTTGCCCTGGCTGAGATCAGTTTGATGGATGGAAGCCTGTCTGAGTTTGACTGTGACGTTAAAAGCCTGAAGCCGATGCCCAGAGCCAGTGACAAGGAAAATGCAAATAGAATGTTGGAAGCCAGCGGTATTAGAAGTTTTAAAAAGCCAGAGGCTGAAGAAGTAAAAAGTGACGCAGGAAAACCCAAGGCTTCAAAAGGCAAAGTGAAAAATACACATTCAGAAGATTCTGTCTCTTCAGACTCTTCTGTTGATGAAGTACAAGGCTCAGGTGACCAGCATTCAGAAGGTACAGATTTTTCACCAGTGAAGAAGTCAGCTGCTCCTGTGAGACACTCAGAGACTGAACGCGATGTTTCTACTGAAGATACCAAGCCCCAGGAAAATCCAAGTCCCATAAAACACTTCAGAATGGTGAAGAGTGCGTCGTCAAAAAGTGAGATGGTTGAGGGAGAGCCATGCACTATAAAAGACTTTAGGGATGCAGGGAAAGAATCGGCCAAGAGCAGCTTGGTTCAAGAGGTGTCTTCGCCAGAAGGCAGTTCAACATGTGCTCGGCAATTGGCCTGGCAAGATTTAATAAGACGGCAGTTGGTGAAAACTGCAGGTGCTACTAAAACTACCACATCGCTGAAAAAGGCAGCTGATTTATGCAGTGATGAAGACATTCAGGGAAGAGTTGAAACTATGCAAGAATTTGACCACAACGACCCATTTCCCGACAGTCGGGTTTCAAAAGTTGGCAACGCCCTCAGTGAATCGGAGATCGCCAGGGCAGCCATGATGGCGGAGCGCAGTCAGTTCATGAGTCCGTACATCCACGTGGTGTCGGACGTAGACACGTGCGGGACCCCGACCAGCAGGCGTGATGAGCCAGACAGTCTATTCCTGGACAGGACTGGTCACGACGATCTTTTGTCTGGTGATGAACTGTCGGACGGGGATGTCCAGAGTCCTCGGAGATCTTCTACCGCAGAACTCGGCAAAGATCAAGCGTGTATCTCACAGTCTGAAAAGAAAAAGGTGGGCAGCAAGAGTAGAAGCGAGACGGGGATAACCCATGGCAGTGGACATGCCAGTGGTCGTGGCAATGTATGCCCAGAACACCAGTCCGATATGGAGGAAGGAGAAATATCAGATGACAATGACTCTATGTCCCCAGCTTGGGACAACCCTCAGAAGACAAAAGTCTCGGTTTCTGAGGCGAGGCAAGAAACAACAAACAAAACTTGTGCAGCAAAACGTGACTGTGAGAACACACCAGATGGTAGGCCCAGCTCTGTGAAAGCCAAAACCTTACCCCGTATACCAAAATTAAAGACACGAAGTCCTAGAAAATCTATCGGTCAAAGCAATGGGTGTGAAAATGAAAGTACTCCCTTTGAGTTGAAAAAACAGTTCATTGCTACCAAACGACGCAAACAGCTTGAGGGCCGTCGAAAAGAACAAGCCTCTATGTCTGCTCATTTGAGACAGGGTACTTATGAAGACAAGAGGAGACTCGTATCACCTCGAGAAGTTCCAGTCGCAGATTTATCTGCGAAACTGCAAAGCTCACGTGCGAGAAATGCTGAAGGGGGGAGGAAGAGGAGACCGTCTTCCTCTGAAGCAAGCGCTGGTGAAAAAGGTTCTGAGCATAAGCATCGTACATACAGTGAATGGCAGGAGAGGAAAGCCAAACAAAGTACATCAGACAGACACAGCAGTGAGAGGGGGTACTGGGCGGAGGATGCGGACCGCAGGAAGAGGGCTTGTGGCGAGCATGATGTCGTGGAGAGGATGTCTCGGGGAGGTCGTGAGAGTGACAGGTCAGCAAGAGGAGGGAGGGGGAGGGCTGGGAGAGAATCTGACCGACAGAACGAGGGCAGGAGATCGTTGTCCAGAAGTGAGGGCAGAAAGAGTAAAGACAACAAAGGCAAAGACTGTGGCTTGGTTGGTGTTGGGGAGCAGAGAAAGTTTACGGAGAGAGGCTTGCATAGTAAGAGATAGATCACGAGGAGGGACGGATAATCTGACCACTGAATGAGTTCTGATTCTGAGAAATATATGATCCAGGACTTCTCTGAGACGAAACATGGGGACATATTTTGACGAACGAGTAGACTCTCTTCACATGATCATAGTTGTTTCGCTGGCCACTGGGTGTGAGAGCAGCAGTCAGTAATTGGTTATTTTGTTCCCAACACTACTGTTACTTTGGGTTTTCAGACCACTCAGCTTGTTGCTTACTTTCATGTTTTTTGTTGCAGCACTGCAGTTAAAGCTGTGGGTGGTTAGAGGGCACCACTGGTAGGTCCTACTTCTTAATTTTCCCTCTGTTGTTTCTGTCTGTCTTAATTTTTTCCCAGCACTAAATGACCATTCTTGTGTCCATGTGCTTCTCTTTACTCAAAACAAGCAGTTGGAGCATTTTAGAGGAGACGTGCTGGAAAATGCAGGACTCTTGTAGCGACGCTTGAGAAAACATTTTTTACTTCTAGATAAAGACCATCTGTGATTGTTCACGGCGCTAGTATGAACGCACAGATTTGCTACTAATTTGAATACTCTTTTTACTCAAATGTATTTCCGATTTGTATTACATTTTATACAGAACTTTGGACCTTTCTTTATTACTCATCCTCTCAATAGTCTTGAAGTGTTTGCCCCAGTGAATCATCAAAATAGGTGGCATATATGTTATTACCTGCCGCAAATATCTTCCCTCAATGCTACGAGGTGTATTTAGACTTTTTGTAGGGGTAGGCCTTTTTATCTCGTTCTGCATTCTGTTAGAAAAAAAGATTCTATTCATATTGAGTCATATTACATGAATGAACTTGAGTAGATTTGTAAGTTCCCAGCTGTTATTGTTTTTCAGTGCCTATGTAGCTTTAGCTGTCTCCGGGGTTTTATACACCCCGTAGAATTTAGCAAAATTTGATCATTTTTTGTATAATTTCTTATTATTTTCTTTTGTCATTCTTTGTTAAAATTAACAGAATCACATATTTCATATTTTTGGGCTCAGTTTGCATAATTTCATAATTTTATTTGCATAAAACTGTGGGGACAGCTTTAGTATAGAGAGATCCTTTTTATCTTTCAAGACTCAAATTCATGCTAGGAGAGGAATTTCTCCCAAAGTGTTCTTTGTTTTATGATATTTCGGTCAGATGGCGAGATAGTCCAGGAGGAAATGTTTCAATCCCCCCCCCAATGCAATTGTTGCAGTATTGTGTTTATTATTTTTACTGGTAACGTTATCATCTTTATACATTGTGATTATATTATATTGCTTTTATGGCTGTTTCAAAATAAAGTTCCAGTCTGTTTTCAAATTTCAGTTTTGTCAGGTGATATGAATTTCTCATCTTATGAACGTTTAGTGGTCTGTTGTATCTTACTACCCACTGAGACATTTGTCATTTTTTAGATTTTATTTAACTCCCTTTTCAACACTTGTCAGGTAGAGGATTCGAACCATTCATTGGAAATATATTTGTGTACACCTACCTGAGCTCTTGGCTCGCCCTGGGGGACGGGTACTTTTGGTAGATGGATACTTGCTAAGAGTAACTATAGCGCTGTCAAAAATTCAAGGCGCAACTTATCCTCAAATATCCCTTTTACGGGTGAATCAATGTCATCCATACTTTGCACAGCAGTTTGTATAAATTTGTCTTAACTTAATCATATTTTTTCACAATTAAGGCTAGATTTTTAAAAACTTTTTTTTCATAAATTTCTATTTAAAAAATACTATAAATCTCCATCTCGCGGAAAATAGGATTTTTCACAGCACTTCCCATTTTTCACTCACATTTTGAATACCTAATATATGGCCTATGTCACAGCTCACCAATGACACTTTCTAATGGCAAAATTTGTTACTAGAAATTAATTTTATAGTGAACACATATTTTTGCACTAAAGGTTCTCAAAACATTGGTTCAATAACGATAGTGTCACGATTTGAAAAAAATGATAGATTTGCTTTTAAAAGCAATAATATTGCTCCAGCTGTAAACCTCTTAAAATTTGTAGAAACCACCCACTTGGATTTTTTTTTATTAAGGAATTTTCTAGAATACAGCTAGCAGATGTTTACAAAAATATTTATATTTTAAGGCAAATTGATACAAGTCATTGTGTAAAAGCTGGAGAGTACATGTTTGATAGTTTATAAGTTTAGGAAGTATTGAACATTAAGTTGCGCCTCGAGTATTTGACTGCACTACAAGAATGCTGTGTTCTACTTGGTGGTAGCAAAGATAGTAGCCTACATAACAAGATGGGCCACTCAGCCAAAAAAGTGTCCCCCGGAAGTTCGCTCTTTGCTTCAGAAGGCGCTGCAGTCTGTTTTGAAGCTCTCTTTCATTTTTCCAGAAGAAGAATAGGAATAGCACCTCCTTGCGTGCGCGGATCGACTGCTGTTCATCAGCAGTTCTGGTTCGTTCAGTGTGGAGTTTTAGTTTTTTAAATATTTGAATGACCTCTAGCCTTTCATTCTAAAGTCAAATGAAGAAAACAATCACCCTTTCCTCCGGAAGAGGTTTTTTTTGTCAGGGTAACCATTTTAAAAAAGCGTTCTTCCGAAATTCATTCAAAAACTTGCTAGTTTCACTTTGATTTTTTAAAACTCAAGTAGGATAACTCTGTTCGCAAAAGGTGCGCTTTTGCGAAGAGGGCACCACAGAATTTTGAGGACACTTTTTTAATGGGCTCAAAGAGAGAAGTGGCCCCTCTTGTTATGTAGAGTCTTTGGTGGTAGGGCAGGAGACAGGACTCTTGTCGCTACCCTAGAGTTACAAACTTCTATGTGCTCAGTCAAAAAACTTTGCTTCCTATTCTTCTTCTGCGTACCCGTGCTGGAGACCAGACCAGACCATCAATGATTTATTTATAGAGGCACCAGCCATCCATGTCCAGGTGCTGTTTTAGCCTCTTTTTCCTGTATTCGGATTAATAATATCTTTTTACCAATTTATTGGTTCCGCTTCTATGTACCCCATTTCTATGGTTCTCAACCTGGAAATCGCCTATAATTCGCTATAATTGCCTCCCCCCTCCCCCCTAGGATCAGGGGGTGTAGTAAATGATAAAAAAAAATAATGCGGGCTGGGGTTGAACTCCGAACTTCAGAACTAATAGGTTAAAATATCTGTGAGCTTCTGAGTATGCTTTGTATTGAGACCTCGCATTGCCTGCTGGTACAGTAGATTATGTAGAGGACAACCTGGGAGCTTTGGACACCAGGGCAATAGTAGTAGTAGTACAATAATGTAAGTGTAAGGATTTGAAGTTGTTGAAACATTGAAAAATTGGTTGGACTCATAACCACATAAAGTTAAAGTAAGGCACAGGACAGAGCTAGACTACTTGATACAAGATACATGTAACTCACACGGCATCCACCCCACCACCCCATCCTCTTTCTCTCTCTCTCCCTCTCTCTCTCTCTCTCTCTCTCTCTCTCTCACAGTCTCTCACTCTCTCTCTGTACAGAAAAGCAAGCACACAACGTATTTTTAAAACAAAGAAAAGGAAAGCCAAATACGGGACTGGTAATCATATTGATATGTTTTATTCAAAAAGAAGCACTGATGAAATCACAAAGCAAACGCAAGTACACAGCATGAACTATGAATGGATGTTCTCATAGTTTACACCACAAGTCCAACAGTCCAGCTGAGAACCAACCCAAAAACTAAAAAAAACAAACTACCCATGTGGGTAAGAAACTCGAATAGTACCTGACAGTCGGATAGTAAGCATTTTAGTTTTAGCATCCAACACATGTGTACACTATGGCAGCCTATATATATATACATGTAGTAGTATATATATATATGTTTACGTCATGGTGATTCACCAATACTGACCAACTAATAATACTACAATATGACAAGACGTGGTGAGAACATTATTAACAATATCATCACTGTGCTGGCAAAATGGCCCATCTCATTTTTGCAACTGTTGACATAAACGTAACAAAATGGTAAACTAGACTATTAATTTATCATCTTGTAATGGGAAAACTTGCCATGCATCATGTTTCTTTTGTGACCTTTATCTCATTTTTGGGGGGGTCTTACTAAAAGATAGGTAGGGCATACTGATATATAGCACCACCAAACAAAATATATATTACTAGCTGGGCCCCCTTTCGATGAAAGGAATGATCGGCGGTGCCTATACGTTCTTATACTAACCGCTCTCTGACCGTCTAGGCCGGTGCTTTAATATCAACTAAAAGTCATTGGCCTACTATATTTACACTCTAATGGAATGGGGCAATAAATCTTGAGAGATGCAAAAAATTATAAGGTCTAGATCTATACTCTCAAAACAAAATGCGCCTCGTGAAATATCACTTCCGGGTTTTCTAAAATTACAGAGACAGAAGCGTCCGCCTACAACTACAAAAGCGATCGGCGAAATAAAGAAATTTAGCTTTTTGCAGCAAAACTGTCTCGAAACTGAAAAAAACCAAGGGCGCCATGCTCTGGAGAATATTTTAAAGAATCTTTTGGCGAAAACCGCATGTCGATCCATGCAGCCATTAACAAGCCTTTTGAATAGCAAAATTCGGCCACCACAAGTAGATAATACATGTAAAAGGCTAGTTGCATTTTGGCACAACTCTTGAGCTCTATGCCATTTTGCTTGTGCACTGATGATATAAAAGAATAAAGACATCCTCACTCCCTAGTTAACCACGATGTTACTTTTTGCTTGATTTAGGTCTTCATTGACTGGAGAAATCAATACTGTATCATACTGTGTGTTGTGCAAAAGTTCTGTATTTCATATACCGGTAGGTGATTGCTTTTACGTGCATGTTGATTTAATAGAATTGGCAAATATTTGAGAATCGACAAAATTTTAACTCAATTTTCAAATGTTCTCAAAACCCTGTCTGTAAAAAAGTAAAATGAGGAATGAAGTGACAATTTGCATTTTTTAAAGCACGGCTCTATGTCCTCTAGAGCAGGACCCCTAGGTCTTATGTAACAATTTTTTAAAATGTCCCCTAGGTCCAATGTAACAGATTTTTAAAATGTCCGCTAGGTCCAATGTAACACATTTTTTAAATGTCCCCTAGGTCCAATGTAACAGATTTTTTAAATGTCCGCTAGGTCCAATGTAACAGATTTTTAAAATGTCCCCTAGGTCCAATGTAACAGATTTTTTAAATGTCCGCTAGGTCTTATGTAACAATTTTTAAAAAATGTCTGCTAGGTCTTATATAAATTTTAAAAAATATCCACTAGGTCTTAATATAACAAATTGTTAAAGTCCGCTAGGTCTTATGTAGGGCCTAACAAATTGTTAAAGTCCGCTAGGTCTTAATGTAACACATTTTTTGTCCGCTAGGTCTCGTGCAACAAATTTTTTAGTTCCGTTAGGTCTTATGTAACAATTTTAAAATGAATGTGACCAACTTAGCTGACAGTCACAACAGCAACAACGTCCGGTGGTGTCGAGCACGTCCGTCAAAATGTGTGTGTGCCTAGAGAAAGGTTCCAGATGTCGAAAATTTTGGATATTGAAACAAGTTGAAAACTTGTAGTAAATTCAATGCTGAACAACGTTTATTAAATATTTTTCAAAATATCTTGAGTAGTTATAAAGATATGCCACATTTAGTATTACTAACTCCTGGTGTAGAAGTTTGGAGAAAAAACAACAATTTCTAGCACATTTTTAACTTTTGGTGAAGTACAATATGTTGCACAAATAACTACATGTAATTAAAAAAATATTTTGACTTGAACTACAACATCCCTTCAATATAATTAAGAAATAGTTCAACGTGTGTTTTCTGAAGGAACTACATTTTTTACCATGTGAGATTTTCGGCCTTTTCACCTTGCTGTTCAAAAATAGTTTTGTCGACAAGTTTAAACATGGTCGCAATCCTTGCAGAAATTTTGCAGAACGTTTGCAGAATTTGGTCATTTTGGGGGTTAAATTCTGCGCAGAATTTTGAAATTTTTCAAGCACAAAACTACAATGTCCGCTATTTGGTTCCAAATACAGTGTCAAATGGTGTGCCCCTTTTTGATCTAAAATAACATCAGAGTGAACACAGCCTTGATACATTTATTAAAATAATACATATCTATGCGTAGAGGTAATTGTTGTAAGCCTATCACTATAATATGACCAAACAGGACCTACATCGATTTGAATAATTCAATAACAAATTTTATTTGGAACACAGGTTCTTCATCAACTAAGCCTAACAATGTCAGCCATCTGGACAAGAGTTGTATTTTTAGTTTTACGCACCCATCGCTATACAATGTATAAAAATGATATTATATTAGACTATTTTAGAGGCCGCATGGGGTTATACAGTACAGTGTATTCATTATTCTAATAATTAATCACTTAAGATCATGCAAGGCAATTCATACAGTTTTAAATTATATTATTATATTATAATTATAATATCATGATTCAATGATTGCGAGTGGGAATCAACAAAGTGTGCAGTTCACTTCATGGGAAAAGATTTCAAAAAGAATATGATATGTAGTGTTGACCTACTCTGACACAACTAGTCATTGAAACAACAACACATCTCTCCTAGTGCAACATACAAATGGTTGCTTTTAAGCACAAGGGGGCTGTCCTGAAAAATGCAGTTTTGAGAAAATCGAGGGTAAAGTTTTTGCCCCTTGTTCAGTTTCTTTAAAAGACAAGGAGAGTTTTCTCTATAACCAAACAAATATATACACACAAAAGAAACCAAACTTCTCCTATAGGTAGGGCAATGCCCACTTTTGATGTAAGTCAAGATTTCTGGAAACCCCCGAGATCTGGGTTAGCCCGCTTGTCCTTAAAAATGACGAATGGAAACAACAACACATCTTTGGTACAGCATACAAATGGGACATGATATGGTATGGGCTTGTCTCTGAGAGTGCCAGTAACGTAACATGGGAACAGAAAAAAGATCAAAGCACACCGCTTCTGAAACTTTACTGTAGCCCAAAAAAGGTTCATTATAGTTCAAAGCAGTTTGAGCTTGCAAAAATTTACTAGATCTTATATAAATATCAAATTTTTTTCAAATTTCAAAGTACAGTTCAAAGCAGTCTTGAGCATGCAAATATTTACTACTAGATCTAGATTATATAAATTATGAACATCAAATTTGCTTTACTTGTGCACAACAGCATGAGATCAGCCTACATGATTACATCTATCTATGTTGAAGTATTTAAAAAAGTGCTAGTTCACTGTGAACATTTTACATCCCTATTGGCATTGGAACAATTTAGAAATTTCATTTCAAGTGGCCGGCTCACTTCCCCCCTGCCTGTCAGGGGCAGCCCAGACAGTGTGACAGGAATACACATCGGTAAATATAGTAGTGGAGTCTGCTTTACTTTAAACCAAAATCTGCCAGACAGCCAGGTTTTCATCGGTTTAGCCGGGTGGCTCAAATGAAAACAAAAAGCTGGGATTTTCTTTTCTTTTGGTTTATCGCTGTTATCGGATTAAGTGTGTTTGGTTTTTGATGAAGCAAACTCTTCTGTAAATGGAGACACATGATAAAACTAGACCACAAACCAAATTTGCTTCCATCCGCAGAAAAATGAAAGACCCCTCCAACCATTGTGACATACACTATTTGAACTGTCCCCGTGGTTTTATGCACCCTGCATAATTAAAATTTAGCAAAAATTGATCATTTTTTGCCTATTTTCTGATTAATTTTCCTTCATCATTCTTTGTTAAAATTAACAAAATCGCATTATTTCACACTTTTGGGCTCAGTTTCCATAATTTCAGATTTTTTTTTAGCATAAAACCATGAGGACAGTTTGAGGTTCTATTTTACCACAAGAGGACCCAAAAGCCATTCAGTCTGATTCATGAGTCATAGCTTTATGTACACAGAACACTGCTGTGTCTGTACCAGGCATAAGATCGCAACATTTTTCCTAGATCCACTCACATTTTAGTTTCAGTAAGAGTTTTAAGACACTTGCAAACAAAATATGGTCATATAAGTGCCGAAGATTAGGTGTTACAAGAGAGTAACAAATACATAAAAAAAGAAGGAGGAGGATCAGGACGATAGATGTTTGACAGGAAAGAAGGAGCAAACCACACCAGAGCACCTGCCAACCACCCACTGCTCATTCTCATTCTCACAATACAACCAACAGTTGAGACAACAATAAAAGTAAATGAGTGAGCAATGTGTTCTCTGCAGCTGGCAAAAACCATCAATAAATTAAAATAGAGGAAATTATTTCACATGAGATATGGCATGGGCTGAGAGAGAGCTGAGGCGTCAAAAAATTTGACACAGAGCAAGATTTTCATTTGAACGTGGCCGATCATCAAGAAAAAATGAAACAAAACATGTTTTACATATGTATTAAAAGACAATCGGACCAAAACATCAACTATACACGATACATAATGTATATAATTTCTATAGCCTAGGCCTATATGTATATATTTGGGAGTAATTTGGGTGCCATATTCAAAGTTTGCGAGTGTGTATATTATTACATTGATTTTTTTCATATGCATATGTAAAATTATGTTTGACCCAGTGCCCACATCGCAAACGTAAGCATGACTCTGCGTAAATTCAAGGCTCTCTCTGTGCTTCTCAAAGTTGTAAAGTCAACCACTCACAATGTTATGTCTTCTTGATCTAGTCAGTCAGTCAAAATTTGATTTTTCTTGCTCAGATCAAAACTGAAATTTCCACTAAAATAGAGGATCGATCTAATTTGGAGCTATTCAAATCTTACTACGACCAGTAAGAATCTATTTTCTTTTCAATTTTACTACATGTATTTAATTTAGAAAACAGACAACCAGTAACTGAAGTTCACATCCTTCAACTTTGAGCTATATGTAAATCTAACATCAAATTTTACATTCAATGACATAATAATAGTTCCTTCATACAAAGAAATAAGCCAAGCGGGAAACCCCCAACATAATATAACACTTTTGAAACTGTCTTTGCGCGAGTTGTAAGTGAAACCAAATGTGACGCGTGCTGATAAAATGAGTTACTTCTCGCAATCCACAATCAGAGACATTGGCCAAAAATCAACATAAGGGTTAATTGTGTAGATTTTTAAAATTGAAGCCACATTCTTTCTATAACTATAACATGTCTTTTATTATTTCCTACTTATATAAATTGTAAAAACTTCACCAATATAAGCATGGTGTATCTGTTTCCTTAAGGCTTGAATCCGGGAAGTAACTCATTTGGTCAGCACGCTTCCCAAATGTTACAAACTGAGAGATAAATAATAGCAATAAGTTTGGAAAAAGCATCTAACACACTACACACAAGAAAACTATTCACTGAAATATAGATCTAGGTTACATAGCATTCATTATTTTATGTCATATCACACTTTAATAAAGGGAAAAAAAAATAAAACAAAATATATTCATTTGTCAGTCTTTATATATATATATATGATAACATTCTATTATACTACTCAACAGACATTATAAATAGCTATAGAGAGTGCAAGAAGAGGTAAAATATAAACCAATGATAACAATGATATGATAAATTTAACAGTAACAGCTTTCTGTGAGTGCCTTCAACGATCCGAACAATCGGATTACAAAGTGCATGGTAAAGGAATGTGGTAAAAGAAAAACACAATCGGAAAAGTAAAGTCAATTTGGTGGTGAATTTTTAAAAAATGTTCAACATTGAAAATTTATACATTTTATTTGTTTTTTTAGTAAGCGTTTTACGGCACTTGCAACACAATTAGGTCATAATGTAAGTGCCGAAGATTAGAGGTGTTACAAGACAGTAACAAACAAAAAAGGAGGAGAGATAAAGACGATAGTTGTTTGATAGGAGAGAAGGAGCAAACCGCACCAGAGCACCCGCCAACCACCCACGTAAAGTAAATTTGGCTGTGAATTTAAAAAAAAAAAGTTCAACAATTACATTTTATACATTTCAGTTTCAGTTGCCAGGAAGCATAACACCATAATACAGACCTGCCAACCTCCCACAGACAGAAGTTGGGAAAATCCCTACTTTTTCAAGGCAGAAAGAGGGAAAATGCACGCGGAACCCTTTTACCCATAACGAAATACTCACATCTCTCTATACACTTTAACAGTACGACTGTTTTAGTAGACATGGTGGATCACACTTCATTCATGTTTTTATTCACCAATAAAATCACTCTGTCAGCAAGTTAAAGAGAGAAAATAGATGTTCCACTATGGCTCAAACAATAGGGAAAATTTATTGAGACCTAGGGAAAGGCAGTCTGAATAATTCAGGAATTTCCCTACAAAATAAGGAAGGCTGGAAAGTCTGCATAATAAATTAATACTGACAACCTGACAGGCTCACAGAAAAGAGGGAAGCACAGTCGGATACCACGGACACAAAAACGCCGCAAATTCACACTATAGACATTTCACCCACACAAAAACGCCACAAGATCACGAAATGGACATTTCACCCACACAAAAACGCCACAAGATCACGAAATGGACATTTCACCCACACAAAAACGCCACAAGATCACGAAATGGACATTTCACGTACACAAAAACGCCACAAGTTCACGCAGAACTGCCTCCAACTCCAACAATGTTGGGGAGTTCAAGAGAGGCACACACCAGCTAAGAAAGTACACGCTGAAACACACAGGAACAGAACATCATCATCGCCAACATAAATAATCATCCTCATGATCACCATCACAATTACTATTACCGTCACCATCATCATCATTACCGACTTAACAATTCCTCTTTTACCTTGTTTCGTTTCTCTAGAAAACAGCCAAGGAAAATTTCCCTCTGGGATAATAAAGCACTATCTTATCTTATCTTATCTTATAACAATTTGCACCATGTCTGTACATTCTTACGTAACCAACAAATACGGGCCCAAAACCAGGACACGAGACCCCCCCAAAAAATAAATAAATAAAAAAATAAAAAATGGTGAAAAACACAGAAACAGAACCAGCATCTCACCACATATATAGCAGGAAAACAAAGAGATCGTACAATCATAAAACAACATAGAGCTGGGACTGAAAGCGAGAAAACAAAACAATTAAAAACTTGGCACTGTTTTTGACACTCTCTTTTTAGTTCATCAAGTGCAGACATCCTTTGTAGCTCCCCCCTCCCCTAAAAAAAACCCTTGATGTATTTGTCGTACACTGAAGACCTCTAAAATAATTTCAGTTTCTCACTAACAGTCTGAAAGAAACTTGTTTGGAGCTGAACACGTACAATAATTTCAAAATAAATTATAAATACATATATGATATATTTATCTGTATTGGCCTTCATATATATATATATATATAAGTGTTAATTCACATTCATATATTTCGAGCCCAAATGACATATTCTATATATAGCTTTGGCACAAAGCTGCTACAAAAATCAAGGTGTAGAAGTATAACAGCAGGGTCATCTGCAGAAACCCAAATGTGTTCCAAAATATTACAACAACAGAATTTTTTAGAACAGCCTTCATCGCTTTGTTATCGGTGAAAATATATGTGGGGCGTGCAGACACAATCAGTTACTTCTCGCAATCCACAAATGGAGATATTGGCCCAAAATCGACATTAGGGTCAAATTTGTAGATTTTCTATTGAAGCCACATTTTTTAACTATAACCCATCTTTTATTATTTCATACTTATATATATTGTAAAAACTCCAGCTATAAGCGCGATGTATCTATTTCCTTAAGGCTTGAATCCCCAAAGCAACTCATTTTGTCAGCACACCTCACATATATTTGTTTCGTCATTTTGTCTCCGTGGGTCTAGACAAACACTATCCATCCAACCTATCAGAAAAGAACATTCACAAATCTTATATATATGTATGGTCCCACTGTGGCAGGAAATGGCGAAAATGTCTTTTAAAAAACACCCAACACCACCCCCCCCCCCAAAAAAACCCACAAAAACAACTTACACTCGACAAACGAAAGAGATCCAATCAGCAGTTGATAAATGAATGCTGAAACTGAAAAAAGCCGTACAAAAACAAAACAACTATTTGAAATAGCAAGATACAAGGAGCGACAGAACACAAGGACCAGAGCTATCTACAGCACCTTTCAACCACCTGCAAGGTACAAATATACAACTTCCGGGATGAACCATATCAACATAACAAAAACATAACAACAACAAAAGAACCCAACAAAACAACAACAACATAACAACAACAGTAACATTCTAGCATTTTTCAGTTAGTGTCTTCACTTCTCAGAAACCAAACCCCTCCCCCAAAAAAGCATGAGGCACTTTCAAAACGTACACAACTCACAAACACAGAGATCAGATCTAAAAAAAACGGTCCCTAAAGAACCATACGATAAATTAACAATATGAGTCACAGTATATAAGGCTGATAAAGGCCTCATACCTACAGGGGGGGAAAAACACCCCAAACAACCGTTATCATCAATATTTACAAAGGGGGCAGAGTAAAGAATTTGACATAACAATTCCAATACCGTACACAAACCTTTGACAATTACTCTAATAATGGTCGAAACACAGTTAACCCTCTTCTACACCACAATCTCCACTAACCTGCCCAGTTTGTAGATTGTACCGTGAGGTAGGGTTCATTAAAACAATTCTTTAGACGTGGGAGAGTTAACAAGATAACAACCATCACCATCATGCTCTGAAGACTCATCTCTTCCCAGGCTTCCCCTGAGCAGCGGCGTCTTCTTTCGGCGGAGGTTGAGTCTTTTTCTGGCCGTGTTGTTTGCCGCTGTCCGTCTTCTGCGTCTGCTGTTGACTTCCACCCGTCGGCTTCTGACCAGCGTTGGCTTGTTGGCCGGCAGCCATTTGCTTTCGGATCTGGAGAGACAAAACAAAATGTTCATATGTAACTTGTTGTCAGCTGATGTCATGACTAAATGAGTAACTGACTACACATCCTTGTGAGGATGTGTAGATTTATCGTTCTTGCCTTGTGCACTTTCTCAAGCAGGCCGCACATAGTCATAGTAAGTGTTCCACTTTTTCCGAATTTGAAGACGACTTGTGGTGAAAACAAAGTGAACTACATGTGAAGTTGTGAATTCTAATTATTATTATCTGAACTATGGGCTCCTTTTATGCTACATTTTTTAACACTTTGCCATCATATTTTGGGGAAAATCCAAAGAAACTGGGTGGTAAACATCGCCAATTGGCGAGATGAGGCTGCAAAGTGTTAAGCATATATACCTTAACTGTACAAAACAGTGTACGGTTGGTTCAGCAAGTTTGCGATACTGACATACATGTAATATTCTTTGGTTGAAACTTTTGATCTTTTATAATGCACGGTTTGCTTGGATACACTCACAGCACTGGGCGGAGCAGTGTATCTCTCTCTCTAGGCAAATTATTTATCACCAATTTTAGTTTCAATAAATTTGTCTTTGGCAATTGATTTTGACATCAGCATGACTTAGATTTAAGTATAAATTGTTGTCAGCTGATGATGTCATGATTAATTGAGCAATCTCCTCATACACACACACACAAGTACACACATAAAGCCTGCTCATACCTCAAACACACAAGCACACACACTCACACACAGACACACACACAAATAAAGCTTGCTCATCCTCAAACACACAAGTACACACACACACAAACCCACACACACAAACAAAAACACACACAACACACACACACACACACGCACACAGACACACACACACACACAAACACACATACAAAAAAAAACCTCACCTCGGCTATCCTGCTCTTCACAATCCTCAGATGGTTCTGAATGTACTCCGCCTTCGGGGCGAGCTGAGCGGCTTGCACCAGGCACTTCTCCGCCCTCAGCAGGTCGCCTCTCTCCACGTACACCACACACAGGTTGTGCAACGCCTGCACGTTGGTCGCGTCTCGGGCAAGGATGGTGTTGAAATTCTATAACAAAACAAAATTTTTAAAATAAAATACCGTTGGTGCAGTATGAGCCTAAGGCCCCTATGGACACTGTTTGGTCGTACATACGAGGTGGTATCTCTGAATTTGTCTCCATGAAGCCTCTTTGATCAAGAGGTATATGAGTGGATGGCTGGCGGGCGCTCTGGTGTGGTTAGCTCCTTCTCTCCTACAAACATCTGTCGTCTCTTTCTCTCCTCCTCCTTTTTGTGTGTGTTAGTCCCTTGAAACACCTCTAATCTTCGGCATTTATATGATCTTACTGTGTTGCAAGTGCCATAAAATTCTTACTAAAACTAAAAAACTTAAAGATATGTGTCAAGTGTTTTTAATGATGTCGTTTTCCCCCCAAAGCAGTCTTAAGTTGTTTTTTATGCTAGGTCATGCAGACAGCTTTCTAGAGGGTCCAAGACTCTTGCCTCCGGGAAATCCACCCAGGAGACCAAGAATTTATTAATAATAATAACAGATGGCATTTGTATAGCGCAAATCCCAGCTCAGCAGCAAGCTCTATGCGCTACACAATCTATACTATTACCCCAGCAGACCTGAGAGCATTCTGAAACAAACTCAACTTCCTGGGAAGCATACAGTGCAAGCAGCCATTTATAGGTGCTAAAACACTAACATACTGACAAGATCTTTCGCTGTCTATGGCCGGGTACCCATTCCCACCTGGGTGAAGTGAGGAAAATTTGTGTAAAGTACATTTCTTAAGGACACAACGTCAGGCCCGTGGCTCAAACCCCTGACCCCGCAACTTCGCGATAACTAATCTGGTAGCCTAACCACTAGGGCACCGACGCCACAACAACATTTATCTCTGATAGAACCATGCGCTCAAAGCTTTGAAATTTGCACATACTCTCCAAGTCCTGTAAAAAAACACCCAATTTGAATTTTGAACCAGTATCACCCACATCACAGTCCAGAGTTATATCAACTGAGAATTTAAATCTCCTCAAACGCTATCTAACCAACTATCATTTCAGTTGTAATCAAATCATATCAAATGCCGTCTAATGTAGTACCTTTTCAGCTGCGTCCAAATCCTTGAGAACGTTGACGTTGATATCTCCCATCAGGATCAAACCTTTGTCATGGTCTGGGTAATGCTGAAAGACAAAAAACCCCACAGATGTTTGTAAAGTTGCCAGTCCAAGAGCCAGGCCACTGATTTAAGCAAATAAGTAAGTTTATTCAGGGCCACTGGCCCACATCACATCACATAAAACACTCATTTGTTAAATAAAGTTTCTGTAATGAATAAAAAAAGTACAGCTTGAGCACGTATCTCTTATCATAGGTCAAACATTGCTTAGAATTTCTGTCACTGGGCCGAGGCCACAGATTAACACATTTCACCCTAAGGGTCTGGACGGGAAGTCTACTCGCAAATCCTAAGCAAGGGGAAGGAACCCACCTTTCGTGAATACAAGCATTTAAAAAACACAATTTAAAAATACTAAACAAATTTTAAAAATCTCAAAAAAATAACAGAAAGAAAAATGAATATAGTTTCAGAAAAATATAACTTTATATGCACAAATTGTTGGAAACGCTCTAGCTTTAGCTCAATCGGGGTGTCCGACACGTCACTTTCACTCTCAGCCTCATGGTCGAGCCCTTGATTTAAATTCTACTGCTGATTAATCTGAATCGCCCCAAACTCTTGCTACAATGTTTTCATCAATATTTTAATCATCAGATTTCTCATTAGCTTTTACTTGCTCTAATCCATCGTTATTTCCTTTTTCAAAATCAATTCTGTCGCTTTTCAACAAGTCGAGACACCTTTGAAATATCGGAAACGTGATCACACTTCGAATGGTTCTAAAACTGAAACTACTGGTCAGAAAATTTCGTTTTGGTATCAAACGAAAGAAGAAACAATTTGCAATAACTGTAAAACGAAATCTTAGCCTCAGAGTCTCATTAAGGCGAGATTTCATTTCTAAAAGCGCATGGTCGGAGCTAGCGATTCCAGCTGAGTTAGGGTGGAGCACGTAAGGAAATTCTCGGGCGATCCCGGGCAATGTAATGTGTAATGTGTAAAACCTCAACAAAAAGCAAACCGTCCACTCTCAGACAACCCACCTCCAGCAGTGTCTTCAGCAGGGGTACAGCGTCCAGTGGCCTCTTCAGGTTATTCACCAGCATCAGCGCCAGGTTGAACAACGCGCTGCGGAACTTGGGGTCCAGCTGGAAGAGAATTGAAAAGTTTTCTATTGTGAGTAAAGAGATGAGAAGCATATCAGCAGCTAATTGAATCAATCAAATCCCATCTGTTTCTCCTCTGGTTTATAAGACTATAACAAATGTTCGGGGTTTTTTGGTTCTTTTTGGCAAGTGTTTTACAGCGCTCACAACTGCATAAGGTCATTTGAGTGCGTGGGACACATTAAACATTTGCAGTTGGCAGGAAATCTTGAATTTTGCGTGGGTGGCAGCCGAAGCCTACTCTTATCGATTTTAGACCACCAAGGGATCTTTAACATGTGGAACTGCCACATGGGACCTCTGAGATTTTCCGCCCTTGCCAGAGAAGGCTAGGGGTAGATCTTTCGTACCAGAAGATCTGGGGTGTGGCCGAAAGACAGCAGTAAGAAGGAGCCAAGGAGTAGAAGTAGAAAGGCTGCAGAAAAAGTCAGGAGCCCAGAGGAGGGGGCAACGGAGGTGAGGGGGTGGGAAAAGAAAGTGGAGACGAAAGCAGATGACAGAACATTGCTAGAGAGCAGGAAAGGAGGTGAAAGGAGACAATTTTAGAGAATAAAATGTATCCACCGCTACCCGGATTAGAACCCGGGACTTTTGAAAGAGAGGCGAACACCTTAACCTCTAGGCCATGAGAGCCCCCAAGCAAATCTGTGTGTAGAGACCTGAAACCACATGATACTTTGATACTTTATCATTATACAGTATCACACTCCTCCCTTGATATCTTATTAAAAAACAAGTCTAGGAAAAAGATAAAATTACCTCAATGGCCTTTCGGAAATTAGCCTCCGCTTCTTCAAACTTTTCTTCGTCCATTGCCAGCATGGCATAGTTGAAGTAAACTTTTGGGTCCTTTTCGTTGTTCTTCTTCAGTTTTTCTAGCCTGAAATGAACAAACAGGTTGCTTCAAACACTGACAATAACTTGCAGAAACATTTGAACACAATCAGGAATTTTACGTCAAACTGATTCTAAAACATCTCGTTTTCTTAAGAGTTTTACGGCACTTGCAACACAATAAGGTCATATAAGTGCCGAAGATTAGGTGTGTTACAAGGGAGTAGTAACAAACAAAAAAAATAAGAAGGAGAGATAAGGACGATAGACGTTTGATAGGAAAGAAGGAGCAAACCACACCAGAGCACCCTCCAACCACCCACCTACAACTACATCTAAAACAGCAAAAGTGTAAGGACTGTATTCTTGCTTTCATAAGCAGACAATCATGGGCATATTCTTACAAAATGCCAGGAGGCTCTCGTGGCCTAGAGGTTAAGGTGTTCGCCTCTCATTCGATAGGTCTCGGGTTCGAATCTGGATGGCGACAGAAAATTTTCTTCTAAAATATGACCTAGTGCAGTTGTGAGTGCTGTAAAACACTTACCAAAACAAAACAAAAAATTACAAAATTACAAAATGCCATCTCGTGCGACGTGGCAAATTCATTCAGAATCTAATGGAGGATAAGAGAGGAACAGTGGTATTGTCGTCTATATCCTGCTAAAAAGAGGCATGCTTTCTTTATTACAAAATATCAACTTTCCCCATCTTTCTCAGTTTTCTCCCAGTTAATCAGCCGCATTCGTTGGATCTATTGGCACCAAATATGAATTTTTGTTAAAATCACAAAACAATAATTTATTCAGAAGATTGCAGCACAAACATTTCTCAGTATTCTTCTCTGACACACCACTCAAACACTGATGGGATCAATGAACTTAGCTCTGTGTCCACCACCTTAAACCTCTATAAGAGATTCTCAACCCATCCCCCCAATCACCCCACCCAAAAAAAACCCTATGAAAACTGACTTGTAAAGACTCTGCTTCTGATCCCACTCACCTTTCCAAAGCCAAAGGCCTGTCACGAGGGTTCCCTCCTTCTTGCATCAGAATGGCCGAGTTGTACAGAGATTGCTGGGGAGGTTATAAAAACAACCAAAATATCATCGCACGAACAAGAACATCTTCTCACTTGTTTAAACTCTTTACCTCCTGGGGGGGGGGGGGGGGGGGGGGGGGTGTTCCCACTATGCCCTCTTTTGGTACAAAACTTAAAAGTGACATATACATAACAAAATCGGTCATTAAATCAAAACAAATGAACTTATTTTGATAGTTTTTCATCTAATGAAAGAACTCCAGGTAAAAGAGATCTGTTTTTGGCAATTGCCGAAAATTGACATACGTCGATGTTGTTAAACAAAATGTACCCCAGCCACTGCGAGCGGCTCATCCACACAGCGATTCCGACCGTGAATGATTCAGGTGGCGATCTAGTGGGACAAGCCTTATTCTAAGGCAAAAGACTCCAGTTCCATTTCCCCTCTCGAGGTTATGCATAATATTACAGTACTGCAGATTTCAGTTTAAACGGACTCTATTGTATATTCTTCTCTTTGTCAGACTGTAGCATGAGGACATACAGTGGTACTGGTCACCAAACTGGCTGAGGTCTGTGGATTCACACGTAGGTGGATGGTGTACATATCCATCAGGCACGCTATAAGATCCTGCTGAAAGGTGACTGGCACATTTCACCCATGTAGGAAAAGTGCTGAAACATTTGACAATAAGGCATTTCAATCAGACCTTACTAATGGTCGGCTCCATAAGTCTAGGCATGTAGAATTGGTTTTCCAATGGTTTTATGCATTTACTCATTTCACTATTTACACCACCGATGACCAACCCTGTTTTGTATGATCTTCAACTCAGAAAAAGTTCATGCATATTTCACAACATAACTGGAATATAAAAGTTTCTAAATATAGTTGGGCATACCCAGTGCTCTGGATTGTGCCGAATCGCCGTCTCAAAATAATTCTTCGCTTCCAGGGGTTTCCCAAGCTCCAACAAGACAACTCCGGTCTGAAAAAAGACCAAAAAAAGAAGACACTCCAGTAGTCAAAACATATATAAAAGGTAAACGTGGAAACAGAAAACAAAATTTATGTGAAAAACAATTTCTACATAAAATTTGTCCTTAATCAGGCCCCGTGATGCTGAGACTCCCAATCGACTTCGCTGAAACTACAAGAGTTCTACTGTGAGAGTAAATGATTTATGCCCCCCTCCCCCCTCTACACTGTTTAAAGCATTTAGGAAGCAGGCTGGTTTTACCTTGCTTATAAAAGCCCACCCGCGTTGAGTGGGTTACAACATCCAAGCAAACAGTTGGAGACACTCAATAACATAGTTTTCCCTATACCAGATCTAATTTCATACCTATGACATATAATTCAACCACTCATGACAAGTCCTGTTCTGCTGTATGATCTCCAACTTAGAAAAGTTCATGCAGCAAAAAGTAGAAAGTAAAATAGAATTCAGTAATGGTGAACAGATGAAACAACTACCCTCAAACACTCCCAGCCTCACACCCCCCTTAAAAATGTTAAATTTTCAACGTGTAAAAATGAAGGGTAATTATTTATTATTAATTCTGTGCACAACTAAAAAGCAAAATTAAATCAAAATCAAAGAGCAAAAACCTACATTGTAATAAAGGTCGGCGTTGACAGGATCATGAGCTATGGCTGCTTCGTACGTGTTCTTGGCATCTTGAAGTCTGAGGGAGACAGAAGTGAAAGTAGTGGTTAGGCTCTTGGACTCGCAACCGTAAGGTCGTGGGTTCGAATGCCGTCAGGGGCCCGACGTTGTGTCCTTGGGAAAGGCACTTCACATTAACTCACTTCAGACGGGTCACACAACAGTTGCGTGACCCCCGCCGCGACGCTCGCGACGGGTCTCACAAGCCCTGCGTGACCAACTTTGGAATTTTTTTTTCGCTCTACAAATCACGCACGGATCGCGAGACCCGCCTCGTACCCTTGTTTGGCCAAGCCGGAGCTACTTAGACTTCGTTTCGTATCTCTGGGGCCGGTAGTTTTTAAGTTATTGAAGGTGAAGGACAGTGACCCCAACTGGGGTTGAACAGACCGGAACTCGCGCTTTGTTTTTTTTTATACAACTGATAGTAATCCGACAGTCGCGTTGTAGTAACGGTCGAAGAAGTCGCACGAACAAGAATCACATAATTTCGCCGTTTTCTATACTTCTGTGCGTTTTACTAGTTCTAGTGTCTCAGAATATGATGTGTCTAATAGTTAGGATCCTGGATATGTACCCGAACACGGCCCGAGTCGTAGTTCTAGGGCTAGATCTAGCACTAGTACCGGTGTTGTTTTTCGCCCAACGAAATCACAACGTCGTGCCGTATATCTGTCTCATGTAATTCAGTGTATGGGTCTGAATCAATGCACAGACCAGCTTTTATATTTTTACCAAACACTTGCACATGTATACAAATCAAACCAGAACACTTTGAACTTTTATTTTTGTTGTTGCAGCGAATTTCATTCTACTTGTCACGTCTCTGGAAATTTTTCGGAAAATCAAATTCATGCCAATTTTTAAAAATCATACAAATTAAAGTATTAGACCTAGACAACTTTAGTTTTTTGTATTAGATTAAGCTTGAATGTTACTTTACTGTGTCAGAAAATGATTACAATAGGGTAATTCTGAGAGTTGTGGTGATTTATTGAAATACCCCCAAAAACGCCAGTCTTCAACGCTTGTGACTGGTGAAAGGGCCCAGTCGCAAGTGAGTTAATTTTCCTCACTTCACCCAGGTGGGAATGGGTACCCGGCTATAGACAGCGAAAGATCTTGTCAGTTTGTTAGTGTTTGAGCGCTTAATAAGCTGATTGCACTGTATGCTTCACGGGAAGCTGAGAACGTTTCGGAGTATTCTATTGTCTGCTGGGGTAATAATATAGTGTAAAGCGCATAGAGCCTGCTGTTGAGCGGGGAAATGCGCTATACAAATGCTATCTATTATTATTATTATTAAGTACAAACATAGATTAAACATATCAACATCAGCTCATGGTTCAAACTTCAGTTTTATCTCATTTTTTAGCCTGGTCAGAAGGCTCGAACTCAGATGGCCTCTGGATCAGAGAAATGAAAGAAATGAAAATCACATTTTTCAGTATGCAGAGGTCATGAGGGTAGAGGATGCCTGGCTGGGTAGGGGAAGGGTGAGAGTGTGTACTGTGGCAAAGTTCTCGAAAAGTCTCCTAAGAAACCATATTTCTGATGCCTCTAGTTCATTTTGACTGTATTACTGATTGTCCAGAATCACAGATTTAAATGGAGTTGACCACAAATAGCCTTTACAAACCCTTATCTGTTGCTATCGAAACATCTTTATTTTTCAGGAAATAAGAAAAAAATTTATTTCTGATCCTAAAGCTCCAACTCAAAACTAGTCTCCGACTGATGACCACATGCTCTGTGTAAAAATGTACGAAAAGTAAGCACTATGCACTATGAACAGCGCACAGAAACAAATGATAAAATAATATGCCCATGATGTTGCAACTGTATGTCACAGACCATATGAAAGTACTTTAGAAAAGAATGCAGACTCTCTTAGCCATGAACACAAACAACAGAATCCTAAATGTATCAGCCAGTGAGTGTAGTCTGTACCTGCCAAGTTTGACCAGGATGTCCCCCAGGTTAATGTACGCCTCCACGTAGTCCGCCCTCATGGTGATGGCCTGTCGCAATAGCTGAAACAATGGACAATAATAGCATAAAAAATAATCATGATAATGATGTCGATCACGACAATAGAAATAATATACAAGCGATGACAATAATGATGATGCTGATCATAGTAAAAACAATAACAATAGTACTGACAATGATTAAAATAATAATCATTATTATATTACGCCTATTTCAATAATAATAATAATAATAATGATGATAATAATAATAATAATAATAATAACGGTAATAAAGATAAACACAACGATACATTCTTCTTATTATTGCTGAAGATAACAAAAAAAACAAACAATTATAACAATAATGAAAACAAAAAAAATAATACTTTTACCACTTTTACTATTACTAAACCAATAACAATACTCTTAATCGTGCCCCCCTCCCTATCACGGGGGAAGACTATTACTAAACCAATAACAATACTCTTAATCGTGCCCCCCTCCCTATCATGTGGGAAGACTATTACTAAACCAATAACAATACTCTTAATCGTGCCCCCCTCCCT